CCCCCCCCCATTTTAGTTTTTGAGACAGGGTCTCACTAAATTGTTCAGGCTGGCCTTGAACTCCCTCTGTAGTACAGATTGTCTAAACTTGAGATCCTCCTGCCTGAGCCTCCTTGAGTAGATGGGATTACAGGCCTGTTCTATTATCACATTTGGAGCTGGAGGAATGGCTGAGTGATTAAGAGCACTGGCTGCTCTTGCAAAGGACCTGGGTTCTGTTCCCAGCATCCACTTGGTGGCTAACAGCCATCTGAAACTCCAGTCCTAGGGGATCCAACTCCCTCTTCTCACCTCTTCTGACCTGCATAACATGGGTGTACTTACATCAATGCAAGCAAAACTACACATAAAATAAAAATAAAAATATCAAAAATATTTTTATTTTATTACATTACTTATGTGTGTGTGCCTACAGACATGACACAGTGTATGTAGAAGTCAGAAGACAATCTCTAGGAGTTGGTTCTCTCCCTCTACCATGTGGGTCCTGGAGATCAGACTCATGTAGTCAGGCTTGGCAGCAAGTACCTTTTCTTTCTGAGCCATCTCTCTGGCCCTTCAGTTTCCTTTTGAGAAAGAAGTGTACTTCCTATTTGTTTCTTGGAGCAGAGCTGGGTCATGAGTTTGAGGTCACCTCAGAAAGGCATCTGGGACACATCATGATTGGGAATTCCTGCCTACCCCATCCCCTCACAGTCCCTACTTTTGGAAGCCCAGACCTTTGTTGCCAGCCCCACCCATCCCCAGCTCTATAAATCTGGGGTGAGGTCAGAGGGCTGGGAGGATGCTTGCCGGCCTCTGCCTGCCCACCTCAGCCTAGACTGGAGTCCCAAGGTGCCCCACCCTAGAGGGAACTGTCAGGTGTGGTCATGAATGCTTTCAAGTGTGATCCTGCCAGGCCCAGCCACGCTTGGAAGGTGGGGGTTGGCAGCTCTTTGTAGACAGAGTTCCCTTCATCTTGACTGAAACCAGGGCAGAGAGTAGTTATGTTTGATGCCCTGGCCATGGGAAGTTGTGCAACCAGAGGCTGGCCTAGCAGCTACCCTGCTCAGTCACTCAGAATCCAAATGTACTTTTTGTTTTTTGGGGTTTTTTTTTTGAGACAGGTTCTCATATAATCTAGGCTGTCCTCAAGTTTACTGTGTAGTAGAAGCTGGCCTTGATCCTCCCGCCTCCTCCCCTCAGCCCCCAAGCACTGGGATTGCAGGCATGAACCACGGTGCCTGATTTTCTTTCTTTTTTTTCCTTTTGTTGTTTTGTTTTATTTTTGAGATAGGGTCTCCAGCTATCCTGGAACTTGCTATGTAGAGTAGGCTGGCCTCAAACTCACAGAGATCTGCCTGCCTTTGTCTTCTGAGTGCTGGAATTAAAGTGTGTTCTACCACACCTGACCTCTTTTTCTTTAAATTTTTAGTTATTATTTTGTGTGATATGCATGTATAACTAACTACAAACATGCCAGAGCCCATGTGTGGAGGTCAATGGACAACTTTTGGGAGTCAGTTCTCTTCTTCCACCTTGGTTTTTAATTTTTTTAAAATTTATGGGGCCTGGAGAGATGGCTCAGTGTTTAAGAGCACTGGCTGCTCTTGCAGAAGACCTGGGTTCAGTTCCCAGCATCCACATGGTGGATAACTACCATCTGTAACTCCAGTTCCAGGGGATCCGATGCCCTCTTCTGTGGGCACCTACCTACATGCAGATAATACACTCACACACATAAAAATAAATATTTTAAAAGTTTTACTTTTTATTTTGTGTGGCTGAGGGGGATGGGTGCCATGGTGGAGGTAGGGAGGTCAGAAGAACTGCATCATGTAGGTCCTGGGATTCAATTTAGGTCATCAGGATTGGTGGCAAGGGCCTATACACACTGAGCTATCTCACCAGCTCCACCTGTTTTTGAGGCAGGGTCTCTCTTGATCCTGCCTCTGTGCTGTGTATTCCTGAGATTCTCCCGTTTCTACCCCATCCTGCT